AAATGAGATATTTACGGTAAGAAACAGTAATAGAGTTTTCTTTATATCTTCCGATTTCAACAACCATACCTCAGCCACAATAAAAAAAAAAGCAACATACGCATGCATTCGTCGATATGAAACCCGTTTGGAAATCTTCTGCACTGTACTCAACCAGTATAAACGACAAGATTTTTGGACTTTGATCAACACAAATGTGAAGTCAGTCAGTCAGTTAATGCTTCTATACGGGTCACGAAAAGGATTTCCAGCAAGTCACAGACTTTTATCAACTGCTACCACCTTTCTAATATACCAATTGGATGGCCTGTCAGAAAGAATTAGCAACAAGGAACTCTAACTGACAATAAACCAACAGGCGAGAGCTGATTGCTCAACGGGTATGTAGGAGGAAATAGGGATGGATTGGTTGGGGATACGTTGAGGAAAGAGGTCGTCGAATGACATCGCGTTCAATGGGGGCCATCGCTCAAGTGGAATCAGAATGGGAATGTAGGAGATCGGGTGTCCAGGGGGAGGAGGAGATGAACGGTTATGGGGATTCGTATGGCTAACCAGCTGGAGAGAAAATCAGAGAAGAGAAGAAAGTAGAGATAATAATATACATGTATATATCAACTCGAAAGTAGAGGCAATTCAATTCACACTTATGAATTGGAAAGTCAGGAACGGAAGCTTCCAGTGTTAGACTGCAACGTAAAAAAAAAGAAGATGGGAAGTTAAACACACGCTAGTGTTTACAGGAAACCCACACACTCAAACAGATATTTGGACTTCCAATCATCCCATCCTATGTCAGTAAAAATAGGATTGGTGAAATGTTTAAATGACAGAGCACAAAAACTAAGTAGTACGAAGAAAAATCTAAGACAGCAAGTGAAGCGTATAAGAGAAGCCTTGAAACTTGATAATTATCCGAACAAATTAGTCAAGAAATATGTAAGGAAATCTAAAAATAAAATAAATAATGATAGTAGCGATAGTGATAATAATAATAATATCAATAATAATGATAATAATAATGATACTGATAGTAATAATATTGATGACGACACCAACAATAAGGAATCTAAACCATCAGTAGTAATTCCATACAGAGAAGGAACCTCGGAAGTCTTACGCAGAATTCTTTAACAAGGCAGGAATAAAAGTGACTGGCATTCAAACCATCCACAAACTCAATTAGAAACAAGCTTTGTCGGTTGAAGGATCAATCCTGTGAAGCCTTTAAAACAAAACAATTTAGTTTATCTAATATCCTGGCTACAATGATTGTCAGGTCAAATACATAGATCAAACTAGTGGAACAGGGGCAGTTAAACTAGCTGAACATAAAAACCTAGCAAAATCTAGATTGGTTGACCTGAATAAGATAAGAAATCTAGAGAATAGTTCAGCTATACCACTCGCTACATGCAGTTACACACAACCACACAGTAGGATGGGATAAGATGACAGTTTTAAAATCTAATGTCACAGCAGAGTGGAGGTAGAGAGATTGATAACAGAAGCTTTATTTATCGAATCAACTGCAAATACCTGTAATAGGAATGATTCAACACCTGTCCAGTTAGAGATCTGGAAAATTCTACTGCTTCAACGACGACAAATAGGAGAGGACAAAGAAAACTAGAAAACTCAGGTTTCAAAGTCGTGTGATTATAATTGATGATATGATTATGAACCTCAATAAATTTTGCTCGAAACCTTGTCATCCAGTGAATAATAATAGTGTTTCACTGATTGTGTGATACATCTAATAAACAAACTAATATGGAAAGTGGAGATATGTTGCTGAAACCGTGTGTTCCACTGGGAACCCAAAGGATTAATAATATTAATAATAATAATATATGCATCTCACCGACTGTCTCAAAATCTAATTTCCACATTCCTTGTCTTAATGATCAGAACATTAAATAATAATATCACTTGTAAGATAGAGTAAAGCATGACAAGTTGTTGACAGGATAGCTATCGCCGAGCTAGGAGCTCATGAAAATTCCTTTAACTGTGCATTTACAAAACTTAGTTACCTTACCAATTTCAATTTATAAACTTTATATATATATATATATATATATATATATATATATATATATATATACATCCATGAAAGCATAATGGATTCCACCTGTGACGTCAGGAAATCAATTCACTTATAGTGGAGTTAGTGTTTTTTTTGTCACTGGGATGATAAATCTTGCCTACATTTTTTTTATATCGTTCGACTGAAATTCCTCAAATATTTCAAAAAAAATACACTCTTTCTGTCAAATATTATATATATAATGGAGTACTCTCTATTGATTTAGTTTTGATGCACAGTTTACTTCAACATTTTTTCAAAAGGAGTAAATGCCATTTCTGATTGAGATCTGCAGTTGTTTCTGTGTGTAATCGAACTCTTATGATTCCATTTTAAAACAGGGTTCTTTTTGATTTGACATCAGTCGGTAACTAGTGTAATGTATCTATTCCTATCCTTGGTGATGGTGAACCACCTAGTGGCATGGAAGCCACATTGCAAACTTGACTGATAGATTTCAGTCTGCACCGAACAAAGGACTAGACAGATTACACTAGGTTACTGACTAGTGTCAAATCAAAAATATCGAATACAGTCTGTCCTACACGAGGTCAATCGTAGGCCCAAATAGCTGGCTCAGTGGTAACGTCTCTGACTGGGTGACGCGGGTTCGAATTTCAGAACTGCGGATATGAGTTCCTTTGAGGTGACTGCAGATATATACTGCCAACTGGTGAGTACCAACAAGCACAAAACCAGAGTCGAAGGCTTCCGCTAGCCAATTGCCTCCAACCATCTAATAGCAACAATTTCAACACTAATACTAAGCCAGTCAATTCTTTTTATATGGGTCAGAAACTTGTCTAGCCCACCATGAAAAGCGTATCCAGCTGCCAGTTGTAGACTTTTATCAACAACTACCCTATCCTCTGACTCCCTTTAAAGATCAAAGGACCGTCCAGAGAGCATTCGGACAAGAAAACTCTTGTATTAAACCAGTCATAGACCTAGTGTTCAACGAATATTCCAAAGAAAATTTGGGATTGTTCGGACACATGTTGAGGAAACTGTCGAATGACATCACGTGCCATACCACTGTGCCAATGAAACACGAATGAGAAACGACAATTTTCGTATTTTTCCAACTGTGACTAGGAGGAGATCGTGTGAGAAGCCGGAGGAGATAAATGACTACGGGAGATCTTGGGGTCAGCTTCAAATGACCTCAGAGAAGAAGACAAAATAGAGGTGTTTTTTTGAAGCCCTAGTTTTCACTCAGAACTCAAGCTGGACGTCGTAATCACTAGGGTATAGCAGGTCGGGCGTCAGGACAAATACTCGCCGAAGACACTGGCTAGTGGTCTGTCTACGTTGTGCGTCAGTCAAAGTTGGATTTCATGGGCTGCTCACTGTGTTGGGTCAAAGCGGCTGAATGGTTTAAGAGCCAATCTTATGACCAGAATGTCCAAGGTTCGAACCAACGTGGTGGATGCGTACTGGTGAAGAGGCCCAAGCTAGGACGCAGGAAACAGTTGTCCACTACTCCCGCTGGAGGTTTCTAATTGTTCACTAACCAATATCAACTATCGGTGAAATCCTGTAGCCAATCAGCAAAATCCCTACAAACCAATACCTGAATAAAAATAATGATAATGATGAAAATGATCCTGGACTACAAATCAGGCAGAAATGTTCCGTTAACATTCTGGATTATATATACATATAAACATGTATAATAGGAAAACATTTTTAAAATTATTTCTGTCCAAAGGAAGGCTATTCAAAAAGAAATAAATTTATTTAATTTTCCAATTTATCAACAGAAGAAAATTAATATAAAATACAGTACATATATATATATATATATATATATATATATATATATATATATATATATATATATATATATATGGCTAAGTTAAACTTTAAGCACCACGAATTACCAATGGAGTGCGACCGCACCAATAACCTTGAAACGCTCACTGAGCAAATTGGTGAAACCTGGCAAATAATGTTGCCATCATCAGTAAAATATGCTCATCGACGTGTTATGCTATTAAAAATAACATCTGGCAAGTTTCAGCTTAGGTTTTTGGGAAAGATTAACTTACGCTTTAAGCCGAAAACAAGTTAGGGTTAGGTTAACTTAGCAAAGGCGATATTATGATTAGTTCAAGTTAGACTACAGTTAGTTTAGGGATATTTTCATGTTGGGGTTAAGTTCATGAGAGATTAGGGTCATAGGTATTTATTAAGGGGTTTTATCAGTTAGAGAACAATTGAAAACCAGGGAGTATTTCCAAACAGCTGTTTCAACCTAGTTTGACAATCATAGGTAGTACGCACCCAGCCCCAGGGTTCGAACCCAGAACCTTACGCTTACAAGGCCAGCAGGCTAGCTCGTATACGGTTCAACCACTGGGACCCGATTCGATGGCCATTCCATGAATTCTAACTTCTACCATTTCGTGATTTAGCGCCAACCCTTCCAATATCGTCAGTGGGACATCTATTCTCACACTTGACTGGATGAACCTCATTAGAACTCCAGGAAACTCTGTCCTGTAACAAGTCACCTAAATAATTACATGGTTAGATTATTTTGTTGATATAAGAATATTACTTATCTACTGTTGTAGAGTATAATTCCATTGCGGGTCAAATTTATTTTGACAGTAATGTTTACTGATGACGACGTTTCGAGTACTCTGTTGATACTCCAGCCTAAAACTGAGAGGTACTTTTATCACATTTAAGCAAATAGGTATCCTATGTAACAGTTTTACTACAGTTTTTATGCATTTATTTTTCTTCATAAATATATATGTACTCCAAAGACAAAAATGCCTTTTTCACATGATTGGTGCGTTCAAGGTCATTCGCTGATTGGTAGTAGTTAGTGGTGTTGTTTAAAGTTTAACTTTGCCGATATGCATAGTAAAAATATAAAAATAGTGTTAATCAAACTTACAATAAAGTTCTTTGACATGTTGCACACCGAAAGCATGTTTTATGATAGACTCTTTCACCTGTAGATATACGATCTACTGGATAGATGCGTTTACCACAATCATAGCATAAATCTATTAAGGGCTAAAATTTTAAAAAAAATTAGAAAAAGAAACAGAGAATAAAAATAGAAATCACACATGTGTACTTTTGGAATACGTGAAATGCACAATTAAACAATTTGATAGCATACTTGAGGACTCTTTGAAATTAGTAGTGGGGTATAGGATAGCTGCGTCGTCTTCTTGCCTGGAATTTTTCAGAAGTTTGTATTCAACGGCAGGGTTCAAGCGCAGGACCTTCAAGTAACAAGGTGAGCTCGTTGACTGATGGCCCATGAATACCAACCTCTGACAATTCGTGCTATAAGTATACTCACTTGATAAAGTCCCAGTAGGTGAATGGTCTACAAGCTCACCTCCTTACCAGAAGGTGGTCGGTTTGAATCCTGGAGGTGGATGAGTAGATATGCTTGTCAAGAATAATAATTTATGATCAACATATCATAAGCAAGGGTTGACAGTTAGCCAAGAAAATTAATACAAATAATTAATAGGTAGAAGTGATTACAACAAGTTGGTTGCATAATGCATAATTTTGGAAAAATGAAGACTAATTAAGCAATAAGTAAGCGTTCAAGTTGGTTGCGTAATAGTTAATCGAGGAAAAATAAAATAATTTAGACAATTATAATTTTTAAAAGGTTTAGGGAAACAGTGAAGTAGTCAGGTTTATACATTCATGTAAAAGTGGCCGAGTTAAGGAAAGGAACAGTACGAATTCCTTCTGAACACACATTCACACACACACACACACAGGTTTGGCTTCTTCAGGTGGATTTTGGTGGCTTCATTCAGCTCTCTATGTAAATGATGAATTCATAAAGCAAAATTAGGATTAGTTGGAATGCAGTAAAACACTACAAATGGTAATTCAGCACAAACTTTATTCTCACTGTCAACAAGGCGTGCTAAAACACTGATACGAATGCATCTTGTTTGTCCCTTCCTTAACCTGCCTAACTGAACACCCAATTGTAGTTCTACATTTTTCGAACATAAAATACGGGTGGTAGTGACAAGATAACTTAACTCTGCTGTATTGAACGTTTTTTTAACAAACAAATATCGCCACTTGATCGGTAAGCTGTTGAGTATTGTACTTTGATTGGACACTAATAACTAGTTTGATGTGTCTAGCCCTTTCTTCAGTGCAGAATTAATTCTATCAGTCAGGTTTCCAATGTTGCCCAGCATTCTAGGTAGCTCGCCATCACAGTGCAACTTGATTTGATGCAATTGGCCACAGGAAGCCTTGGACCTAGGTTTCGTGCTATTTGGCACTCGTCAGTATCCACTACAGTCCTACAGGAGGTCAATTCCGAGCCCGAATAGCTCGGTGGTAACGTCTGTGACTGCAGCACTGCACTGGGTGATGGGAGTTCGAATCTCAACCGGGACATAGGTTTCTTCAAGGTTGCAGATACACCTTGCCCTGACTGGAGAGTGCTAAATAGCATGAAACCTAAATCAAGGAAGGATTCCTCGTGACGATTGCCTCCGATCCTCTAATATCATTAAATCAATGTTGTGTTTAGAATCCAAAACGCTACAGATATATATATATATATATATATATTAAAGTGGGGTCAGAGAGAGAGATATGATGATCTAATTGAAAAATCAATAATTCTTCGCTCAACACTTTTGCTTTCTAAACTGTTTTAACACCAAGTGTTGATTTGCACGGATCTCATTAGTTACTGGTTGCATCACGAGTTAACGAGTCAGTTAGAGAACCATTGGAAAAAACCATCTGGGAGTATTGGGCGACCAGTTGTTTCATCCTAGTTGTAGAGTCTTCATAGTGTACACCCACAGCCAGGGTTCGAACAACACAGGACCTTCTGGTTACAAGTTGGGCTCGTAGACCATTCAGCCACTACTACCCGATCCAATGGCCACTATCCCGTGAATCCCAACTTTTGCCAATTCCCGACAGACAATAACGCAATTAGGCTATTGTGACTGTTGACCATTATGTCAGTTCCCAGGGACCAAGTGGTTTATGAGCTCGCCTTGCAACTAGAAGGTACTGAGTTTGAACTGTATTGGTAGGTGCGCACTTCTGAAGAATCCCAAACTCCGATGAAACAGCTACCTGTTGGTTTACCATTGATTCTTTAAATGATTTCAGCTCATGATTAGTACTGTGAATTTCGTCAGGATGTTATCTAAGCTTTATTATTAGTGAATTGAAAACTGGTCATAAAAATACATATATGTAACAACAATGCACGTAAATTGTTTATTCAAAAATATCACGTACAGTTAAACTAGTCACTCTATCATCAGAACATTATTGTTATTATTAATGTTATTGACTTATTATTATACAGGTTGCCTTTCGTGTGAGTCATTACTGTGATTGATTCACACCGAAGGGTGTTGTTTACATGAATGACCTATGTCCAGTTGTCTAGAGGTATAAGTATGCTTGTAAATGATTTCAAAGGTAATATGAACACTATTGTCTTTGTGCTTCTTTGTGTGTGTGCTTCGATAAACCAGTTGATTGACAAACACTCCAGGCTTGTTTACGCAAAAAATAGCTTGCAACATCATTTTAGTTAGAGTTTCACATCGTGATTTCTAAAGCACTTTGTTTCTGAACAGTGGAAAACTTTAACAGTTAAAAGAAAGACATTTAATGGCTTAATTTATAATGGTCGAGGGTTTAAGTTAAGTAATTTAAGTTATTGGGATCCTTAGCACATGATTGGTTTTGATCTGAAAATCAGTCAACATTCTATTTCACCTCCTGTTTATATTTTCATATACTGCATTTATCAGGAGGTGTACACTGCTAGTCACTGACCGACTGACCTCACTACTGACACTTAATTTAACAGTCATTGGATGATAAAAAACCAAGAGTTCAAATTATCTTTCTGACTGAGAGATCAAATGGCCGGAAAGAATAAGCAATAAGAAACTCTGTCGATGAACAAACCAACGAAGAGCCAGTTGCTTCAACAAATATGTAGCAGAAATTCCAGATGGATTGATCGGGCATACGTTGAAAAGGCCATCAAATGACATCGTACGCTATACAAGCCGTCACTCTAGTGGAATCCCTATAGGAACTGAAGAGTACGTTGTCGGTGCGAGGGTGACATGAAGGAGATCGTGTGAGAAAGAGGGGGAGGAGATGAGAGATTACGGTCAATCGTGGACGCAGGTGAAGGGGACATCACAGAGTAGATGTAAATGTTAAATGTAAATGTAAGATGTAAATGTAAAACATGTTGACCACTTCACCGATTTCGGAAGTTGTATCAGCACCAACGGACTGATTGACGACGAAATATCAGCACAGATCCAAAAAGCTCGAGCTGCTTTCGCTGACTTACACCATCTCTGGAGTAGGCGTGACATCCGGCTATCAACCAAGGGACGTGTGTACTGCTCACCAGTTCGCTCCATCCTTCTCTATGGCTCTGAAACATGTCCAATACGAGTTGAAAACATGAAAAGGTTGACTGCTTTCAATCATAGATGTCTACGATCTCTTTCTCACATTAGGTGGTTCAATAAGGTAAGTAATGTTGACGTTAGGCGTAGAGTGTTGGGCAAACAGGGAAAATCAATCGACGAGACTATAAAGTTACATAAGATTATAGGTTTCCAGACCGTAGGTGTTACGAATTTCCTGGAATAATTTGAGCACCGAGTCAGATTGATTCATTATAAATTACTTAAATTAATCCCAGCGTGTTAAAAAAATCTTGTTTTGATTTTCTTAACACGCTGGGATTAATTTAAATAATTTATTATAAAGTTACATAGATTGAGATGGCTAGGTCACGTGCTGCATATGATCTGACCATCGCCTCCCGTGGTAGTTTTCCAATGGTTCTCTCATTGATGTCAACACGTGATCAAACCTATCTTCAATCAAATCCCTGGAAACCAACACTTAACGATAGATATTAATCAACTACAACGCTAAGGTGTAAGCCCTCCCCCAACTCACTCCTTTTTCAACTAGTAAATAATCAATTAAATAATAGTTATGAATGCGTAGACATTAAGAAATAGCATTTAATTGCACATGTGATTAATTATGGAAGTATTTTGAGGCGATATTTATTATTATTTTAAAATTCAACTTATTTTTTGCTGCTAAATTTTTTTTTAATATATATTCATAATGTTACCAGCATATGGTGTTGTGTGAGAAAATAGTAGTTGTAGCGGAATAATAAATGATCTAAAATTTATCTTGTTTCGATTTCCAGTGATTTGATTGGTTGCAGGTTTAGTAGAAACAAGACAGGGTAGTTCAGCGAAGAAGCTCTCCTTGGTAAATTTATTTTCTTTAGGTCTACCGTCGCATTTATATGCAATTTTTTCATGAAACAGACCAGTAACATCAGTGATGGATGAGTTGACATAATCATAGTTTTTTTAAGTAGTCAATGTAGGGATTTGGTTGATTGGTTACAGGATTCCATCATGAGCTGAAGCCGTTTAGAGAGACATTGGAAAACCAACTGCGAGTAGTGGACAGCTCTTTCCTCTGTCCTAGTTTGGGACTCTTCAACAGTATGCACGGACCATTGGATCAGGTCTCAGTGGCTTAATATTCGACGAGCTCACCTTGTAACAAGAAGACCCTGTGTTCGAACCCCGGTGGGTGCGTACTGATGAAGAGTCCCAAACTAGGACAGAACAGCCGTTCCAATGCTTCTTTAACAGATGTCAGCTCATGTTGAAATCCTGTTACGAAATAATCTTTTTTTTTTGTATTCCTTTACGTTCCCAGTGGAACACAAAGGGCTTCAAGCTAGAGAGGCTTGAAGTTTCTGTAACAGTGGTGATTATTTGTCACAGACTGGGGTTACTAGCCTCACACCCGACCTTCTCTCTTTACCAGTCTTGTTGCTGGCTTAGAGAGGTAAAGTAGTGCGTCGACCGAGGATCGAACCTTGGACCACCTGCGTGGTCGGCTAGCATTCTACCGCTATGCTACCGACGCCAAAAATTGATAGTTATTTTAATTAGTCAAAGCTTAAAAGGATT